TATTATCCCCCAACACTGTCCTGTCCCTCCTGATCACACAAAACTATTTACTGCAAGTAGAGGTACAGTCAGAACTTTTCTCACTTAAAATTTGGTAGTAAACAGTTGGGGATGTAGCTCAGTTGGTAGAGTGCTTGCCTCACATGCATAAAGCCTTGAGTTCAATCCCCAGCACCACAAAAAAGAAAAAAAAAGAATTAGTAATAAAATTTTAAAGAGAACCAGCACAGGATCTATATAATACACTGTAATCAGTGGAAGATAAAAAGTACAAGGAAAAATGACATTTAAAATAGACCAGCAAAAGGTGACCAAGAAAAAGATGAAAACTGTAACCAAATGTATGACATAATTTTAAAAACTGATTAAACCATAACCTCAATAAAATAAGAACTTGTAAGTAAAATACAAGACCTCAAGGAAGACAAAGGGATACCATCCAGCAGCAGTGGGAGATGAAATATGACCTGACAGAGTTGAGGAAAGAAGTGGAAGAAGCTCATGAATCTATCACAGAAACCAAGTCCATGTGAATGCAGAGAAAATCGACCCCGCAGAACACCATGAAGAGCACAGAGGATCTGACTGGGAAGAGCAAGCACAGCAAAATGGAAAAGAACGGAGAGTCCAGAGTATAAGGGATATAATGAACACTGTGGAAGAAACAGGGAAGAAAACATGTATAAATTTGATGCCCACCCCCGAAAAAGAAGAACTCAGAAAACAAATTAAGTATGCACTTGGTCCTTCCTATCCACCATTTCTGTATCTGCACATTCAACCAGGTATGGATTGAAAATATTTTTTAAAAATTAAATCTCTATTAAACATGAGCAGACATTTTTGTCAATATCCCTTAAACAATATAACAACTATCCATAGAGGATTTATATCATATTTAAATATTATAACTCATACAGAGATTATTTAAAGTATGTGGGAGGATAATGATAGGTTATATGCAAACATTATGCCATTTTCTGTGACAGGTGGAGCATTCACAGGTTTTGGTATCCCTAAGGGGATCCTGTAACCAATTTCTCACAGACACTGAAAGGTGACTATTCTAATAATACAGCCTTGTATCCCAGGAAAAGTTGATATCAAACTGTGAATAGCCTAAAGCTTATTAGACCCTTGCAAGTAAGAATCCCTGGAGCATCCCATCTAAATTTTAAGTAACTAATAATGCAGAAGTATCCGATTGTCCTTAGACTTCATCACATCACATTCAGGGAAGCAATTTCTGCAAAAGCCTCAGAGAAAGTATGACCCCAAAATTTATACCAGCCAAACTGACACTCTAGTAGAAGGTCAATGAACCATAATCTTTTAATACATTACATTTAAGAAAATATAATTTCCACAAGCCTATCTCAAAGGGAACAAACTTGGACAAGCAAGAATTTGTCAGAGAAATTGGCAAAAGGACACATAATGAACATAAATTCATCCTTAGAACTAAGACTAGAGCAACTATGGAAGTTGCCTTAGAAAGCCAAAGATAGATGTCATCCACTAATACAACATAGAAATGATGTAATGAAATTTGAAATGGGGTGAAAGTGGAGTGCAGTGTATTATGCTGATTTTCTCATTTTTTAATATTCAAGGACTAACAAATTTCATTTACAGCTCATAAGTCACAAAATAGAAATATAAATATGAAGGTTTACAGAGAAACATTGAAATAAAAAATAAAACGTATCAGTGGGGGAGAGGATGGAGGAGTGAACTAAATAGTATATTCATCTGCTGTTTGATCCTCTGGTGAACAAAAGAGAAAGTAGGAGAATACAAATATGTAAAATTATGAAAAATAGGGACATAAATAATAGGAAATTAGTGTATCATAAGAGATTACTTTGTTCAATTCTGCAAATAAGTTTAAAACTGGGGGCTGGGGATGTGGCTCAAGCGGTAGCGCGCTCGCCTGGCATGCGCAGGGCACTGGGTTCCATCCTCAGCACCACATAAAAAAATAAAAGATGTTGTGTCCACCGAAAACTAAAAAAATAAATAGATATTTAAAATTCTCTCTCTCAAAAAAGTTTAAAACTGATTTGAAATAAGCAATTGAAAAATCTTAATAACCAACTGTGATTTATGTGTACATAAAATTGAAAATCAAATGCAGATAAACTATCTCAGAAGAAGTACAGAAAACACTTTTTGTTAAATCAAGAATAAGCAAGGCACAGTGGTGCACGCCTGTATTCTTAGCAACTCAGGAAACCAAGGCAGGAGGATCACAAGTTAAGACTGGCCTGGGCAACTTGGCGAGGCCCAAAGCAACTTAGTGAGATCCTGTCTCAAAATAAAAACTAAAAATGGCTGGGAATGTGGCTCGGTGGAGAAGTGTTCTTGTGTTCAAGCACAAGTACCAAAATGATAATTGTTCTTAAATCAGGATGATGAATACCAATACTAAAATTCAATTCAATAAAGAAAGCATACACAAAATTGCCAACCATTCTTACAAATGATGTTGCAAAATAAATAGAATAATATGAATATTAGTTTTTAAAATAACAAAATTCAGCAGCATATTAAAAACATTAGGATCTAGTAAGGTTTATTCTAGAAGTATGGACTTATTTTGTTATTAGGAAATATGCTAAGTAGAAAATTAGAACATAGAATTGTAGTATTAATAGAGTAAGAGGAAAATAAAATAATCTTTCACTTGGATATAGAAAAAGCATATGACAAAATTCAACCTACATTCCTAATAAAACTCTTATTATGGTAATACATGTATACTTCCATCATACGATTTTATTATACACAATGCATGTTAGATGTGAAACATTATGTTATACATTCTGTGTTCCCATATAGATAACACTAAACCCACTTTATAGTCAAATGAAAAAATAATATAAGTATTCCTACTGTAATCAGAAACAGAATGAGGATGTACATTCTCACCAGTAACATTTAACACATGTGGGAGCACTTCCTATTGAAAAGATGGTTCACCGTGAGAATGTGACCCCTGTCACTTGTGAGGTTAAAGAAAGTTCTCTCTTGTTCTAGAGTGCTGAGATATGGAAGTCAGCCCAGTGTTTTTGTGTATTACCGAGGTCATCATATTGTGTTTCTCCCAGATATTACAAAGACTTCAGAGCAGGTATATTGTAATCACATTTCCCACAGCATAGACTATGTGTGGGTTGGTGTCTTTCATAAAGATACTATTAGCTGGGAGTGGTGACACATGCCTTCATTTCTAGTGACTGGGGAGGCTGAGGCAGAAGGATCATAAGTTTGAGGCCAGTCTCAGCAACTTAGTGAGACCCTGTCTCAAAAAATAAGTAAAAAATGGACTGAGGATGTAGCTCAGTGATAAAGCACGCCTGAGTTCAAGCCCCAGTACAACAAAAAAAAAGTTACTATTATTATTTTATAAACATGTCACTGGCTTAGTTTTACATAAAAGTTCATATAGCACATGACTGTATTTTAAAGTTGTTCCTAGTGTCTTAAAAGCACACATAATACCCAATTTACATAAAATAATGGGTGTATATACACCAAGAGATGCTGAAAAATGATCGAACACCAAAATATTATTCACTTAGAGGTGATTTTCTTAGTGTGATGTGGTATAGGTAGATTTTGATTTATGCCTTATGTTGTTTGAATTGTCGTGTACTATTTTTACAATAAAAATAAAGCCACTTCAGTATGGGAAAATTAATAAATAAATAAACCCCTTGGGTTAGATATTTCCATAATCTATGGAGCTGGGCTGAGACATCTCTAATTTTTTGTGGAGGTTAAACTCCTCTGCCGATTCTGATGATTGCATTTGGGAACCACAGGGATAGGATTCATGATCTAAACTGAGCTCCTCATCTCATTTGCTAACGCAAATGAAAAAAAAATTTTTAATGATTATTAGCCTGCATTTAAGAATCTCAGTGTCATGTTGAGCTCATTTATTGATTCAGTTGCTGAGTTAACAAGGCATTAACCAGTTGCTGACTTCTGCCCTGGCAGCCTCAGTCATTTCCTCCCTGAATCCTCAAGATACCTCCCCTCTGGGCACCCAGCAGTCAGAGCATGGGCAGCTCCCACTCTACTTGGAAAAAAAATCAAGAAAGGGGGCCAATGTCTATACTGTGAGAGTTACAGAAATGACTGTTTTCAGAAAACAGTTCACAGGATAAGAAATAGTTTCGTCATACATAGGCCAAGTTGCTTAGCTTCTGCTGTCATCCCCTGGGATATTCAGAGAAAAGTCAAACTGCAGAAGAGAGTAAAGGAACCTCACTCTGAAATCAGAGTCCTCCTCACCTACTCACCAGAGAGGTGTAATTCATGAGAAATTCCAGGCTGTACTCATTTGCTGGGGCTGCTGTAACAAAGTGCTACAAACCAGGTGTCATAAACAACCAGCTGTTGACTCATCATTCCAGAGGCTGGGAATGTGAGATCACAGTGTTGGCAAGGTTGGGTCCTTCTGAGCCTACAAGGAAGAATCTATTCCAGGCCTTTCTCCTAGCTCCTGGTGGTTTGCTAGCACCTTGCATTCCTGGCTTAAAGAAGCACCACTTGATCTTGCCTTCATGTTCTCATGGTGTCTTTTGTGTGCATGGCTGTGTTCAAATTTCTCCTTTTAAAAAAAAATCTTTTGTAATATTGGATTAAAGACTCATCCTAACCTCATTTTAACTGAGTACATCTGCAATTGTCCTGTTTCCAAATGATGTCACACTTTCAGGACTTCAACATATAAATTCAAGGGAGAGGAGTTTCAGTTCAACCTATGTCACATACAGCTGGCACTTTCTGCAAACTGGATGGACAAGAGGTTTGGCTGTAGAAGAGAGAACACAGCACATTAATTGTCTGCGTTGATTTCTGAGGTTCCAACCTGCAGTCTCTGAATCCACCACATGGGTGTGATAGAGTGGATTTGGGTGGGGGATGCTGTGTAGGCACTTGGTCCAGGATGGAGGTGTGGTTCACTTGTCTGTCATTCGTTGCCACAGGTTATATCGAAGCTGCCGTCATTCCTGCTGGAGCTCGGAGGATCCGGGTGGTGGAAGATAAACCTGCTCACAGTTTTCTGGGTAAAACAAAAATGATTTAATTCACAATTTATGTTCTGAGAATTGATTTTGATGGTTAGCCTGCTAAATTTGATTCCCTGTCAACTCTAACTTAACACCTGACCTTTAGTTGTAATGACCTGAGTACTCAAAAGGGACAAAATAGTTCGATCATATTTGGCTAAAGTGCAGCCAAATATGGATCATGGGGGATGGAATCAGAAGCACTAAGCTTTGAACAAGAAGGAAAATGATGACAGAAGAGTAAAGGAAGCTATGAGTCCCTGGGGTAGCATCGGTTTCCCAAAGTCACCCCAATAGATCCCTATCCAACAGGAGCCCAAGCAGCATGCATCCAGCACCCCACTTGTAGGAAGTGCTTGCAGGCTGTCCTTGGCTCTGGGGATGGCCTCTGTGCTGGGAAAAGAGCAACAACCATAAATTGAATAGAAACATAGAATAATATGTTTTTTTACTTAGTTCTGTGTGCCCCAAATTCCCCAACACCAACTCCATTGACTTCCAGCACAAGTACCTATATCTCTGCACAGAATGGGATTCCATTCCCGGCTGGCCTTTGTTACATTCTGTAGAACCATGGTTAAAGCCTAAAAACTTAAGAAGAATCACTAAGCGAAGCCTTTACTCATACGGAGAATGTGTCCTAAATTTAATCTCCAGCCTCACCATTGACCCCAGCAAAGGTCAGCCTGGTCCTCAAGAACCAGGATGGTTGGAGCATTGAGTTGAACAGTGAGTGTTCTTTACTGCACCTAGGTGATGGGGCTTCTGATGCCAACATTGGTGAAGTTGATCCAGTTTCTTTAGGTGGGCAGAAGGAGAAGGGCTGGGCTCTTTGGAGGTGGGCCACAGGCAGGAGTGCACCCAGAGACTGCCCCTGCACTTGGTTCACTAGGATAGAAATACTACCACCATGTTCATTTGCCAGCCCCAATCCCATGTTCCTGGATTGGGTTCAATTTCAAACTAGAGGTAGCTGATCTTCTAACCCAGGGTCCTCTCTTCAAAGCTCCCTTTATATCATAATCTCTCAACCTGTGTTGCAAGTTGCTGTTTGAGATTCAAACAGAAAGCAAAAGAAAAAAAGGCTTGATTTCTGTGGTTTCAAACTCTTTGGGTTAAATTACAGTGACCCAAGAGATCCTTTTATTTCCATTTTTATCACTGACAGAAAACAGATGCATCTTTGTCCACTTCCCTGCCTTTGTAGACTGCAACAAAGGATCCACACCTTTCTGTGAAATGGTCACTACTTGAGAAACTCAGAGTCTAATGAGGCAGACAAAAAGCAAATCCCCAGTAGGCCAGTGTACAGTGAAGACCACAATCCTGTTATGTAAGACTTTGGAAATACTTGAAGCACTAAGACACTCCACAAATGCCTGCCTTAGGAATAGGCTGGAGGACTCGCTGCACCCCAGCCCCCCTGGGTGTCTCTCCTGGGTACCAGGAGCCTTGCTCTTCCTCTGCAGCTTTCTTGCCTGCCCCCACTGCTCCCATCCCATGGGCTGGCAGGTTGATGGCAGCTGCTTTTCCTGCTGCCAGGGTAGGACCTTGCCATCTCTCAAGTGGACATGCATGCTGGTCTTTGTCAGCCCTGGAGTCTTTCCCAACCTCTCCTGCATGGACACTGTCCTAGCCAAGCCTGGCACACTTCTCCCCAGCTGTCCCAGCTGTCACTCTACAAATAGAACAATGCTTATGAATGCTATCTGAAATGGGGCTTGTGCAGCTTTTGGCAGTTTCCTCTGCGTGATGGTCCACCTCCAAAGAGCCCAGCCCTTCTCTTTTTGCCCACCTAAAGAAACTGGATCAACTTCACCAATGTTGGCATCAGAAGCCCCATCACCTAATGTTACCACAAAAGTTATACTTCCCATTTGGTGCATTGGGGATGTACTATTCTTACCTGGAATGACATTTCTGCTGTACGGGACACTGGACCTCCACAGGAGGCTGAGGTCACCTTTTATCCTTATTCACAAAATCATAATCTGGTTATTCTAAGATCTAACCCAATTCTGAGGTCAACCTGTTGGTTCTTCCGTAAAGCACCAGCAGGAGTCCCTGCATATAAGAGCTATGGCCTCAGATTCTGGCTTCTGAGATTTTCCAACACCATTCCTCTGCCTAACCCCAGTCCCAAATGCCTGGATAAAACAAACAAACAAACAAAAAAAGGTTTTCTGTGACAGTATAAGAATAACAGAAGGGGATCAGAATCCTTTTAAGTCCTAGAGTAAATATGAATTCTTTACTGAAACTTACCTTAGGGTCACCAAGTAACAACAGGTGGATGCTGCCCAGAATGGCTAGCTCTCATAACTGTCCCTGTTAACTTCAGAAGCCTATGGACCACACATGCAAATAGGAACAGTGACACCCATAATAGTGGTTCCCAATCACTGAGCCAAGCTGTGCCTTAGAAGCCTGATCCCTAATCCCAGTAAATGTGCTATAGAATTGCAAACTGAAGTTCCAAGAGGCTTATTAGTGTGTCCAAATTCCTCCTTTCCTCTGAGTTCACTGCAACCCATGAAGCCTCTCAGAATTTCTCAGTGGTGTCCAATCAGGACGAGAAATTGACAGATGGAAAAGCATTTTCCTTGAAAAATACATGATAAGCCTGTACCTAGTTACTACTTCATCGTGTGTACTTCAGAGAAGCCAGTCTCGATCCCAAGGACATTGGTTTAAATGTCTCTGAACAATTTAGCTCCCCAGAAGCCCTATACCTCCTTGGGAGCTTGGAGTCAGCCTTGGTCCCCTTATCTTATCCAAAAAAAATCATAATCCCAATATTCTGGGGCCTGCCACATGGACAAGAGCAAGCCCGAAGGTGGTCCATGCTGGTTATGTTTCTAAACTTAGTTCGTTCCAACAAGCCTTGTTTCCACTTGGGGCCGGGTGCTTTGGAAGTCGACCCAGTATAACTTTGAATTACTCTCATATTTGCTGGGAGCAGTTCCTGAAGAATTTTACCCCACCTACCTTCAACCCACACTGGCTGGCTTTCTGCTCAAAACCACCTGGAACAGGAAATGCCTCTGCAGTTTGTATCCATAGCTAGGAACAGAGCTGGCAGAACTCAGAGTAGAAATAAAAGGAGCTGGAGCTGACTGGATGCCAGGATTAGAAGTAGGTTGGCTGTGGGTCAGGTCTTCCAGTTGAATTCAGGAGGGAGAGAAGCAAAGAGAGAACCACCCCAGCTTCTTCACAGTGTGGTGCCAAGGGAGGTCATGTGAGCAGGTTGGGTGTTCACATCTGCCAGCAGCCAGCTCTGTTGGGGCACCCCGTGAGGAATGCCCCTTCCTTACTCCCTAGTATGACTCACTGTCTTCCCCTGTAGAGCCTGGAAATCCAGGAATGATGCATAAATGTCCACCAAGAAGAAGAGCCCCCAAACGACCTGTCATTCAGCATTTGACCTTGCATTCTCAGCCATTTAGAGGGTTTTGTTCAGCCATAGTCTCAAGGGAAAGTGTGAATCCCACCCTTATGGTGCCCCATAAAAGTCTTTCCAATCATTGAGAGGCTTCTGAGCAATATCCACAAAAGCATGCACTCTTATTTTTTTTTTTGGACAATGGTTTAAAACATCTAACCTCTGGCCCAGGTAGAAGCAGCAAGGAGAAATCTCCCCAGCAAATCAGAACTTCAGACTTAGCAAATATAATCAAGTGGCCAGAGGAATTGCCTTTGTTCTGAACTCTGTTGCTTGCCTGCGATATAAAAACATCTGTTAGGCTGGGGACGTGGTTCAAGCGGTAGCACGCTCACCTGGCATGCGCAGGGCATTGGGTTTGATCCTCAGCACCACATAAAAATAAAATAAAAGATGTTGGGTCCACCGAAAACTAAAAAATAAATATTAAAAAATTCTCTCTCTCTCTCTCTCTCTCTCTCTCAAAAAAAAAAAAAAAAAAAGGCATCTGTAATCATCTTGATTACCCCTGTTGAGTCTATTCTGGATCCCCAAATTCTGATTGCAAATGCAAACTAATTGCATTTCAAGTGCTTTCAGACAAAGGAGACTTGGCTCTACCCATTGATGCCTAAGGATTGAGAGGGGCAGGAAATTGTGGAACCTCGAGTTTATTTAAAGTGGGGGGGGTCTTCTTTAAGAAAAAGGATGCTTGCTGGATGCTGTGGTACATGCCTGTAGGCTGAGGCAGGAGGATGGCAAGTTCAAAGCCAGGCTCAGCAACTTAGTGAGACCCTGTTTCAAAATTAAAAATAAAAAAAAAAAAAAACTGGCTAGAGATGTGGCTTAGTGATCAAGTGCTGGAGGATTTAATCCCTAGTACAAAAAGAAAAGAAAAAGGACACATTATGCACAAGGCCTTGGAAGGGACTCACAAATAGAGGTGCCTTGAAAGCACAACCAAGCCTGCTCTGCACAGCTCACAGAAGGAAGGAGAGCAGCCCTCGCTATTGCACAAGGGTACAGGAGGTGAGAGTTCACCAAGTCATTGCACCATTGAACTCCACATTGGACCTGTTTGTTCACTGTTATGAGTAATCTTGACATCCCAACAGACTCTGAGACTGAATTCTCACCCTTTTGAAATAATGTCAGGCACCAAATTCTTGATTTTAGTGGAAAGTTCTGATTTTTCAGTACGGACCACAGGAACTTGCAAATTTTATGTCTTGCTGACCAAGTTACTCCCACTGAAAAGGTTGGAAGTGATCTCTATATCTCTTGGAGCTGCCAACTTCCTACTTTTGACTCTGCCTGCTTTCCTTCCAGTGAGAAATGAATGAGCAAATGTCATCAATAGCAACAGTCTTGAGGGAAGGGTTGTCAGCTCTTTGTTGGGGAGGTGGGGCCAAGTGGACTACGTTATCAGTCCTTAAGTATACAGATTTCCTTCTTTCAGAAAATGTAAGAGTTGCGATTTCCCCAGCTCCGCAGCTGCCAATCAGCACCTCCAAAGCAGAGTGTCATCTTCAGAGCTTCAGGTGGCTTGTGAGAGTCAACAGTGAAGTCTCTTCCCAACTTCCTAACTTCCTGTTCACCAATGGCAAGTGAATAACCAGAACTCCTGAGTGAGGATATTTACGTATCTGGTAGGAATATGTGCTTTCATGGAGCTATCTTTTCCAGAGAGGCAGATTTCACTATGTTCTTCTCCATCAGTGGCCAAGGAATACCCCAGGGTATCCCATTAGCCATAGGCTGGCTCCTTCATGTCACTCCTCAATTCGCAGACTCTACCCAGACACTTGTGGCTTCTCCCATCCCTATAGACCACCTCCTAAACTGTCTCTTCTGCCCACCCCCTTTGGGCAGGCAAGACCTGGTCTGTGCTCAAAGGCACAGGTCCACACAGGTTGCACCTCCATCTTTTCCACTTGTGGCTGCTGCTGCTGCCCTGTCTCCCCCACAGCCACGCCTTTCATGGCAGGAGTGGGCTTCCCCCGCCAACCTCATGCCTCTGTGCGGTGTCCCAGAGATGGTTTTCTAATTGTCTCCAGGTGTGCCCCCCTCTGCCCTTTTCTAGCCCTTCCCACTCTTGACCTCGCAGATGTTTGACTTTTGGCATGAAGTGGGGTAGTTTTAATTCTCCAAGTCAATAAGTCACTTTAAAGCATTTTACCAAAAGGACCGGGGAACATATGCACACAAAACTAACAGAAAAGAGCTGCCTTGTCAGGAGGATACTGCTGGGGCAGGAGCCGAGGCCCAGAGGAGAGAGTATGAAATAATGAGAGTGTGCCAGGCCTTCTATGTCTCAAGGAGTACTAAGTGATTGCTAGGAATTCATTACAGTGATTTTTCTTTCTCCACCTGTTCGGCTCTCATTATGATTAGCATTATTTTAGAACCAACCTCCAAAACACGCATGAAAGCCAAACCATTTCTCAGTTGCTGAGCATTTACTTCAGGTACTGGTGGATCCAGGGACATGTAGTCATGTCACAGGAAATAGTCTGCATCCTGGTACCCCATCCTCTCTGGGGGCCTCTTCCCATGTAGTGGCAGATCCAGGCTTACGTTGAGTCCATAGTTAACCTATGGAAAGAAAGCTGCTTCTATCCACCTTGCACAGAAGTCCTGCTGACCAGGACTGGGTGGTGGCCCATATTTGGAGCTGGGGTGCAGTTAAGAATCAGCCTCACGTGACTAGAGAGACAACATATTCCCAAGGGAAACTTTGAGTTTCCCTCGAAGGGAGAGAAACAGATGCTGGGTAATAAGTATACTAGGTACTCAAAATGGCCTTAAAACAGGAACAGGTCAGGGCCAGGATTCTACACCCAAGGCCTGGGCCAAGGCAGGAAGTCCAGCATTGGCCAGTGAATGTGGGTGACCATTGATAAATGCAGGATCAGCTGGGTTAAGGAGTTGGTCCAGGCAAGCAGCAGAGCTGCTGCCCCAGCTTCTGGCACTGGGGTTCCCGGGGTGGGCCAGGCATAGTCCTGAGCAGCACACAGCTTCAAAGAGGTATTTTGCTCCTCTACCTGACTCCTGTGTTCAGCGACCTCTGCTCCTCTCACAGCAGTGACCTCTCCCTCCTTGTATAGCTGCCCTCCATCGCTTGCCTCCTTTTCCTGACCAGACTTCTGGAGAGACATCCCTTTCCCCTGTGTTTGCTTCTTCCCTCAGCTCCCCTGCTGCAGGAGCCGATCTTGGGGAAACCCTTGGTGGCCTCCTCAGGCCTGCCACACTCTCTGGTACCTCTTCCCCCTTCTGGTCCGACAGGCTCAGGGCAAAGGGTGATTCTTCCAATGCTTCTGTCCCCATGCACTGCTGACCTTGGACGTGCTTCTTGTTAGGACGGACACATTCCATTGACCTGTTTTCTGCCTCCTTCTGTACTGTCAGCTCCCTGAAAGCAGAAGCTATTTGTCTTTAGCCCCCACCAGGAAACCCTCAGAATAGGGTGAGGGACTGGCAGGTGCCTGCCACTGCTGTGCCACATGTGTCCCCAGCTTGTTCTTTCTGAATGTTTCTTAGAGGGCTCTGCCCCCCTGTTTTTTGTCTGTTTCCCGCCAGCTTGCACCACCCCTTCAAATGAAATATGTACATGCATATGCGGGAAACCACTTTCCAAATCTACAGAGAGGTTGTACTTCACCTGGATTCACCATGAGTTCACATAACCAAATATGTTTTAGGTGATTAGCTCACTGGAAGCTTTGGAGATCCATGAGATTAGTTATTTTTTATAAGGGTAAATAGAATACAATCTCCAGTAGCAATTGGGGCCTGGTATTTGTTCTACTTGAGTATAGGTCTTAATATTCTCACATTTCAGCATTCTGACATATCATAACATCTAGTCTGATGCTATGACCTAAATCAGATGAGAATTAAAAGTTGCCAGTGCAATAAGTGTGTCAGGCATGGCCTGTTAGGTTCTGATCTCTATAACTTTAGAGCCTGTGTGTCTTTGTCAATTTGCTTAACCTCTCTGTGCATTTCTTCATCTATGAAGTGAGGGAAGTATTTATTGGGAAGATTAAATAGGTATAGTATATTAAAGAGCTAAACCAGAAGATGTATTCCTTAAATAGTGTTTAGCTGGAGGTCATATTGGAAGATAAAAGTTTTAAGTGTCCCCAGTATTTTCACCTCCTTTGAGTAGCCAGAAAATTTCAAGTGAGTGTATACCAAATTTCTTGAAGGGAAACAGATTCGATTCCAAGTGTTATAGAACTCTCTTTCCTAAGCCTTCCCTGGAGTCCCATAATCCTCAGCCACTCGCCATCACAGCCACCCTGGATACAGAAGCAGGGGAAGTCTCTTTGCTGGAACATAGCCCTGCTTCTTGGCACCTCCTACAACCAAAGAGCCGTCCACCTGCATCTTCTCTGTGTGCCAGGACTAGCACCAGGACCATGACATCCTGGAACCAAGGGAAGCAAGGCCAGTGCCCTCCCAGCATCCCTCAGCTGCCTCTAGTCCAAGCAGGACCTAACCTCAGGGTCCTAACCCAGCCTGGGACTGATGAATCTAGCATCAACTGACCCCTTTTTGGTTTCAATTCTCATTATCCAAAATTGTCATTACACATGGACATTTGATTTCTGTCCTTGGTGAGCAGACAACAGTGAATGGCGTGGAATGTGAGTTCATTGTCTGTAGACCTAGTAGGGTTCCAAAGTGACCTGGAGATGCTTTGAGCTTCAGGGGTTTCAGCTTCACATACGGAGAGAGTGGGCTCGGGACAGGGTGCCCTAGGAGTTTCATTGTAGGAAATGAGGCCAAGACTTACTGGTACCTCCTGTCATTTGCTGCCTTCTAAATGTCAGAGTAGGTTCTAGTCATTTGCAGGGCATTTTTCCTAAATAACAACAATGAACAAATAGAATTTCATCACAGAGTGCTCTCCTCATGATGATATGGATTTCAAACCTACATGAGAAGATAAAGGAAAACCAGATTTGCTCCTGTGATCACTTGGCAGCATGTGGATTCCCTGTCTCTTCCCACACATCTTGTACTGAGCATAGGTGTAAATTAGCAAATATGGGAACCAGAAGCCCAGGACTCTCCACGACACTCAGCCCCAGTGCACCCTCATAGCTGTGAACAGCTGGAGTTGCCAAGGGTGGGGGTATCAAATCCTTAAGAGGTGTTGGAGTTGTTAGGCTGCTATCCTTCAAAGGTCCCAGGTAGGTAACAGTAGAACAAATGGATGATTTCTTTCCTTTTTGTATCTGAGTATTATTCCATTGTGAATATGGACCACGTTTCATTATGCATTCATCCATTGAGGCACCTAGATGGATTCTGTCTTTGAGAGGGGTGCTGCAGTAAACGTGAGTTTGCGGGTATCTTTGGTATGCTGACCTCGTTTCCTTTGGATATAGACCCAGGAAATGGAATAGCAGTATGATGGGTCTACTTTTATTTTTTGAGGAAACACTTTAGTTTTCAAAACATCACTGCTGAATAATTTACATTCCCACCAATAGTGTGTAAGAGCTCCTTTTTCTCCACATCTCCGCCAGCATTTGTTATTTGGTTTGGGGCTTTTGTGTTTTGCTAGTTGCCATCCTGACTGGTAGAGGATGAGCTCTCATTGTAGTTTTTTTTAAGCTAAATTTCCCTTAAGACTAATGATTTTGAGCATTTTTCACATATTTTTTGCCATTTATATTTCTTAAAGAAGTGTCTATTCATGTCTTTGCCCATTTCTTGCTTGTGATTAGCAGCAAAGTGGCAGAACTGGAGGACATTATGGTAAGTGAAATAAGCCAGGCACAGAAGATAAATACTCATGTTCTCTTTCATACGTGAAAGCTTAAAAAAATTACTTGAATGTAGATAACCAATTACAAGAGATTGGGAAAGGGGACAGATGTATAAAGGGTGGCTGGATTTGATCAATGCATGTTGTATGCATATATTGAAATATCACACAGACCCCCATTAACACATATAATTAATACATGTTAATTTTTTTAATTTTTTAAATGAATGAGTGAATTTGGCTGAAGCTGCAAAACACATGTTGTAGCCTTGAACACATTAAAATAAAATTAATTTCTCAGAAAACTGTTAACACATCAGTTTAGCACAATATAATGGGTTGTGGATGTCCCCATCCTCCACTGCCCCCCAACCCTGAATATTTGAGTTGGCTTTGACATGAAAGTTCCAAGTAGGTAACAGTAAGATGAATGGATGATTTCCTTCCTTTTTGTATCTGAATATTATCAGCCCCAGGGCTCTCCTTCCCTTGGGCCTGGAGTGCTTGCTCTGTGAGCAGGGCCCTTGTTCTTATTGTGCAGGAAGCTCAGGGCCTCTCACTGCAGGTCTCCCTTCTTCCCCCTGAGGAGGGAGCGACCTGTGACCCACTCTGCACTCAGGTTCCTTTAAAGCCTGGCTGGATCCCTCCACCCTGCTGATTCCTCAGTGTTCCTTTTCCTTTCTAGCTCTCAAAGACTCCAGTAAGAGATCCATCAACAGTGACTGGAAGATAGAGCTCCCTGGAGAGTTCCAGATTGCTGGCACGACTGTCCGCTATGTGAGAAGGGGCCTGTGGGAGAAGATTTCTGCCAAGGGACCAACCAAATTACCGCTGCATTTGATGGTAACTTGCCAGGCTTGCACCTTTGTCCTAAGATGCTGGCTCCAAAAATCCTACCAGGCCACTTCTTCCTAGAACCTGAAGGAAGCAGATACATCCAGCTCCCAGGTTTTATGAGGCCATGGACTATTCAGGCCTTTCTCCTTTCTGGGTCTTTTCTTAACTAATCCCTTCCACCACATGCTTCAGAATTCCCTTCTCGAAGCTTCCTCCTTGCCTTCACCAGCAGAACACTTACCTTTTCCTAAAAGAGCTGTCTCCAACCAGGAAATGCTCATCCACATGGGTAACAACCAGGGAAACTCGGCATCGTGAAGCAGATAGCCCATGCAAATTGTTATGTCAGATGGTGGGATGCAGGGGCTGGGGGAGTAACTTGGTAGTAGAATGCTTGCCTAGCACCATCAAGGCCCTGGGTTTGATCCCCATTACTATCAAAAAAGAACAGATGGCAGGATGCCCTCCAGTTGAAAACTACCTTTTGGAAATGAACGTTCAAATTCAATGTTCAATCTGGCCTCTCTCGGCTTGTAATGAGTATTTGGAATTGAGAAGGAGAACCGGGTTCTGTCGATATATTTACTTCCCAGAGAGTCTCAAGAAACTTGTGTACTGGACCAGGGTGTCCTTGTCTTACCTATTGTTTCCAGGAGACACCATGTAAGCCATTTAATCATTGGCTCTGTACCTTCTTAAATGAGGTAGGGATCTCCAGGGAAATTCATGCCACTGTTTTCATCTCAGGGTTTAGGAGTCTCATGCCTAGCTTCTGCTAGCTCACAATTACTGAATACGTGTCTCCTTCCAAAGAACAGGACTTGTGGCACCTATGCACCTGTCATCAAAGTACATTTGTCCTCAGTGCCTAGCAGAGTCTCTGACTGGAAGTTCTTTTCCCCATTGATTTGTGATCCCCAACAATCTACAGCTATTCAAGGTTAGGTGAAACCACCCCAGGGAGTCCGCTGTGAACACCAACACCCAGTGCAGGTGTTGCTCCATGATGGTGGCATTAACCTTGTTACAGTTTCTAGTGAGACACAAGCCAGTGGGTTTCCACGTTTGCCTGTGCAACTCTTAGCTCACAAAATCTATTTCAAATGTATTCCTGCAAGTAGGTTTCTGGAACCCAAGAACCCACACTATAGCCATTGTTCTGTGATGAGATTGTTTCCTAGTCAGTGTCATTAGAACAAGTCCTTGTATTCTGTGTTTAAAGCAGGTATTCAGAGGGGTTGAAAGGAAGCAAAAGACAGGATGTCCAAATATAAACACCACCCATTAGCCCCTGAGTTTATTCCCTCTAGCAAGCACCAAGATGAGTGCATTCCCTTCTTTACCAGAAGCTTTGTAAACTGAGCAGGTTGTCACCCATTAAAGCAAGTATACAGCCTGGCATCGTTCAGAACCCAAGAAACAAAACTCAGAAACAGCAACTCCTGTGTGGCTGAAGCTCCAGCCCTTGTTTAATATTCATTTCTTTTCTTTCTTGCAATAATGATTGCCACTTCCAGTTCTGAAATTTAGAAATGAAGGGTACCCCTTTGCTTCTGTGTAGAAAGCCCTGGTCCCCAAACTGGGATGGGCATGTTTCTTGTAGAATTAGGAGCACCCACAGAATCTCAAGGACCTGCATTTGAAACCAATTATACACATGCAAACACAAATTATACGTGGCTCCAAAATTACATGAAATTGGTTTCATATGGATTTTCGATTTGCCAGTCTTATTCCCACACTGAGATAATAAAGATCTCTTTTAAAGACTAGTTTTAAACAATTTTTTGAATTTTTTTTTTGAACTGGAGGCATTTTTCCAAATACATTACTGCAAGATTGTTTGTTGGAGAGGGGATATTTATTCAGTTGGGTATGCTCTTAGCACCCCAACCCCACCCCCCACTCAGCCTTGGAAGCCAGTAGAGGCTTGGGAAAGATGGCTTCTTTCCTCGAGTGAACTTTTGACCTGGCTTACCCCAAGTTTAGGCAGGTGGGCCAGGCACTCCCTGCCTTCAGCTCCTACTGGCTTCTTCTCCTGAGCCTCTGGCTGGAATTGAATTTGCTAGCTGCTCAGCCCCAGGAGCATTCGCTGGTTCCAAGCTTAGATTAAAGATACATCATCTGCAGTCAGGCCACTTTAATCTGCTACTCCAGGACATGTTTTGCAACTTTATGTATAGAGAAATAAAGCCAATAATGCACCTGCTGGCCTTAAGGACTTGCCACCTGCATTCCCAAATACCTCCATTTTGCACACTCACTAGGACTTCAGGCAAAAGGGTCCCGGAGCTGCTTGATGGTCCCCACAAAATACTATGGATCCCTTCCTGCACCTCCACCCACTGTCAACTTTAACCCTAGAGCTAAACCTCTGCCACCCCATGGGCACAGTCATCACACCATTCCCATGGCAATAGGAAGGGTAGCACTTCCTTGGACCTAGATGTCCCCCAAACTGTTGTGGGGCAGGTATGGGGGGCTGCACTTCTTTGAACCTGTCTTCTGCCCAAATGCTCCAGCTGACACACACCACTGACTAGTGATTTGGGAACAAAGAGCAATGCTTTTTTTTTTTTTTTTTTTAATACCAGGGATTGAACCCAGGGGTACTTAACCACTGAGCCACATCCCCAGCCCTTTTTATTTTGAGACAGGGTCTCACAAAGTTGCATAGGGCCTTCCTAAATGGCTGAAGCTGGCTTTGAACTTGGGATCCTCCTTTCTCAGCCAGCACTGGGATTACAGGCAGGCACCACCATGCCTGACACAGTGCTCATTTTTAAAGAAATAGAGTAATCCTCTGTGTTTAGATGTCTTTCTAGGTGAATGCAGTGTATGTGTATCTTTCATGTGTGCAAGGACAGCATTGTAGAAACATGGGCAAACATGGGATTTGCTCTGAATGGACCAGCTCTCTGGGAATAGTGCCACAAAGAATCTATAGACTTGTTCAGCCCCAAAATCCTCATGTACACAGGTCCCCTATGATGATGTGCATTTGCCCCACTCCCTGAGGAATCCAAGGTTGAGATAAAGGAGCACCCCCTAGATTGAACCTGTTTTCTACCCCTTGAAGAGAAACAGCTTCAAGGTGGCCTGGTTTGCACACTTGGAAACTTTGTGGGCTCCTGGTCCATTTCAACATGGCCTTTTATTTTGCCATTGACCCAGGTGCTGTTATTTCATGACCAGAATTATGGAATTCATTACGAATACACCATTCCTGTAAACTACACCGCTGAAAATCAAAGTGAACCAGCAAAGCCACAGGACGCTTTGTTCATCTGGACCCACAGCGGCTGGGAAGGGTGCAGCGTGCAGTGTGGAGGAGGTGAGGGCCGGGCAGTGGGCTGGTGGGGTGTGCAGTTGTGCTGAATGAAGAAGTAGTGGACCCAGGGGCCGCTGCAGCCAGCACTCAGAACATGGGGAGGTCCCTGCATTTCCATAGGAACTTACCCAAGTCCCACCAAGAACTGTCTGCAGAACACTTGAGCAGGGCCTTCTCAGCGCCTATACATTAGTGTATGGAGAATGCTCCTTTCCCTGTGGCATGGACCTAGGAGTAGAGATTAGGCCAGTGCATGGCTGCATTACAGGTATGACAGGTTGACCCTGTGAATGAACAGGATAGACCTTCAACTATTATCACCTGGTGGAAGGGCACCAGACAACATCTCTGCCTGCTCCCAGATACCCTTTGCTTTTTGCCTCAGTAACCCCACTACAGAACGAACCCCTACAGGTTGGGTAAAACATTCTGAGCTGACTGCACGGCTTCTCATCCTACCTCAGCAAATGACTTGCCTCTCAACACCTAAATTTCTTCACCTCTAGAGATGATTGCCCCTCTCATCCATTATGGATACTTCAGGATGAGCCAGTGACTGTCCTGCTCCAAGAATTGATTTGAGCAAAAGGCATTTTGTTTATTACTGGGTCCTCTAGAAGAAGCAGTAGGAAGCTCTTCTGAACTCTCAGCCAGCAGCCCCTTTGTGCACTGTAGTTTACCACAGGGTCATGAGAGATGGGACACAGGATTGGTGGGTTCTGATGGGCATAGATTTAGGATAGAAAGTTAACCAGGACTCTGGGTGGCAGTCATGGCAGGGTAGAACCCAGGTATAGCCTCACCTATCTCCATGCTGAATGGCTACTGACTGCTAAGATACCCTTGATCAGAAACCCATTGTGTAGAGGATTGTTTACCATCTAAGTACTTCATCCATTTTTCATAGGTAGGAAATTAAGCCACAGCATTTAGATTAAGCCCATAAGATACTGCCAGCATCAACTGTGATTTCCTTTCTATGCATCTTGGGTAACTTCCCAGTTTGTTCTCAGCCTCCTCCTCAAGCAGCCCATGGCAATTGGTATAGCCTTGGGGGTCCACCATGAGCTCTGTGGTCCTCCTACTTTGCATCTCTCCCCAAGAACCCCCTTTTCCCTCAGGACTTCAGCCACTGCTCTTCCAACCTCCAAATCCAGCAGCCAACACCTATACCTTTGACTGCAACCAGACCTTTCCTCCTGGGTGGCTCACTGCACACTAAACTCCACCCAGATGGAACAGTGATCGAGCTCCTGCTGGGCCAGGAGACCTGTTCTGTCACCATCACTCCTGGCTTGATGGTAATTCCTTTATGACACTGATGACTTCCAGTTGCCTACAGTTGTCAGACCTGGTGCCAAACCTGAAAGCTGGCCAAAGGAGCTCTGAGCTTTCATAGTCACACAAGGCTGCAGTTGTGGGCAGTGGGAACCCACAGAGAAACTCAGGACTCCATAATATTTATTTCATTCCTTCATGACAAATTTCCCCAAAAGACGTCCTGCAAGGAATCTGTGATCCAAAGAGTTGTACTTGGCTCCCTATTAATCTTTTATTGTCACTCTTCCCAAATAATAAGGATGACAGCAATATAGCAGATGAAGTGTTAACCTCCTGCCATGTTCCATTCTAGGACCTTATTTGTATTAATTCACTCTAATAGCACTGAGGCACCCCAAGGCATCAGGAGGTTAGGTGAAGCAGCCCACTGGAGGAACTCAAGACACAGAAGCATGGCAGCCAACTTCTGATCCCATATCTACTATGACACTATTCCTGACAGAGCCAGGACTTAAACCTGCACAGCCTGGCTCCAGAGCCACCCCTCTAACTGCCAATCATTCAGTCTCCATGACAGAGTTGTACCACACAATGTTTAGGGTGCTTTGGGAATACCCAAGGAAGGCTAATGGGTTTACAAAACTACCAAGGAACACATGATGCACAAGTGTACAAGTTGTCTAAGTGGACAAGTACAGATCAGCCCTGGAATGCCTGCCAGGGGATGCAAGTCTGCGTGTCCTTCATACCAGCTACCCTGGTCAGCACATCAAATGATTGGCAGTCTTTGATGGAAATGAAAGACACAAATCAAAGCTTTGGCTTCAGTGTATTAAGAAGTTTTCAAGGACACCGCTGATCTGGGGTGTTGCTGCTTTCTGATCTTGTTTTGGCCTCTCCTGTCCCACACTGCCCCTGCCACATGTCTTATACACCTCAACCCTTAGATGACAGTTCTCTCTCTCTCTCTCTCTCTCTCTCTCTCTCTCTCTCTCTCTCTCTCTCTCTCTCTCTCTCTCACACACACACACACACAACCAATATGACACCATTTTAAAGGACACAGTGATCAATAATTGCCCCCAAACACTCCTCTGTACATATGAATGAATGGCCTCTCCAGGTGTTTGCAGCCATAACCTCTCTCACCCCTATGGTTTGGTTTCCAGGGGAACGCAGAACCATCGTGTCATGCACACGAATAGTTAATAAGACCACGACTCTGGTGAATGACAGTGACTGCCCTCAAGCCAGCCGCCCTGAGCCCCAGGTCCGAAGGTGCAATACACACCCATGCCAATCACGGTAAGGAGCTCTGTCCTTAGCTTAGCCCCATAGGATCTGGGGCAGCAGCAGTGCACACGGTGGGGCAGGGGGAGCGTGAGTCACACCAAATACACTTAATGCTGGTAATGCTGGACTCTGCCATGTTCTATTAATTAATTCTGTTGCTGAGTGGTTTCTGCTTGTTCAAAATGATAGTGTATTACTTTACAACAGGAACATGTTCTGAAAAGTGCATCATTAGGTGGTTTCCTTATGCAAATATCATGGTGTGTTCCTTCACAAACCTCAGTGACACAGCCTCCTACACACTACACATATGCACAGCCTGCTGCTCCTCAGTCATGTGAACAAAGCAACATGAGGGTAAATTGAGAGCTAGAGAAGAAGATGTAGTAAACACAAGCTGTGTGAGGCTGCTGCTGGAGCAACGAGGCATTCCATCTTAGAGAAGGCAGATGATTTTATAAGGAATCTATCCCAAAATAACAATAAGTATGGTATGTGAAATACACAAACGAGTAACAAGGCATTTATTCTCATTAACGAGCACTATACACTGTACACAATTGCATGTTTGTGCTTTTATGTGATTGGCAGCACAGTAGGTTGCTTCCACCAGCATCACCGCAAACATCTGAGTTGTCCATTTTGCTACAGCATCACAGCAGCTACAACGTCACTGGGTGATAGGAATTTTTCGGTGCCGTTATCATCTTACATGACCAAGACATCGTATTTGTGGTCTACCATTGACAAAAATGTTATATAGTGCATGACTGTACTAAATTTCTGCCTACCAAATCAGAACTTTCATGGAAATGTGCAACCCTAGCTGGAAGAAGCTTATAAGAAACTACTGATAATATCTCAGAGGGAAAAAATAGCCATTGCTACACATTTTCAAGTAGTAACCATTGACTCCCCCTAAATTACTTTGTCTTGGAGGACAAGGAAATAAATGTTAGAGTCTGAGTGGCCAGGAGGGAGCGTGCACACTGGTAAATGTCTGCGTTTGGCCTGTTCCAGTGAAATTTCTGCCAGTGAGTGCAGATCTTGGTGTGTGTTGTTTCCATCCCAGCCCAGCTTTCATGGCCTTGTGACTCACATGCTCTGGAGTGAGCTCCTGGGTTGTTAGAAGATGAACTGTGTGAAATCATTCTGCCTCTGTCCTTGCAGTCATTTTACTGGAGCATGCATGGTACCATGTTACATTGACCATTGTTATCTCTTGGCCTCTCAATCTTCTCTGAGGTGAGGTGAATGTTTTTTGGTTTGTGGTTCTGTGGATCATGTTAAGGTATGCCTACCTTTTCTAACTAGACTGGGCTTTTGCTATGGCAGTTTTTCAGGTTTCTTAAGCTCAGTTTGTGTTTCTTGCCTTATGCAGGAGTTTCACAAAGCATTTGGCTTTTGCACCAAGCCCCCTTTGCTTTGTCAAACTCTTACATGTATTTGAGTGAGAGACAGAATATGGGAGGAAGAACAAATTCAGGCTTGTTACATTGATTTAATATGCTCCTTGGAAAATTAAGAATGAAAATCCATCCCAATGCTGAAGGCCTTAAGGAAGTGCTTGCTGCAAAAAGGAATCCTATTGGGTGTCCTGGGTATTGGCAGCCTTTCCTCAAACCTATCAGTCAGTCAATCACACAGTCACAAACATGTGGCACCAAAGAAGAAAGGACTTGCCATTGTACAGGCTTTCTCATGTGTCATGAGAGATACATGATGTGGGTCCCATACTTGGAGCCTCCCCTTCACTCAAAGTGGACCCACAGCACCTCCAAAGAACTCCAAAGAAAAAGGGTTAAAAGCCAAAAACTCAAGGATTCTGCATCCTTTAAAAATGGAGAAGATTCTATGGGAACAACTCATACTGGACTTTTTTCATTGCCTAATTGTTCAGCTACTCAGCATCCAGCCTAGCTCTTAGCACACATTACACCTCCTGTGTACTATTCGTCCATTCAACGTGGATTTATCTAGCACCTTCCCAATCACCAGGCGCTCTCCTTGGCACCAAGATGGTAAGGTCAAGGTTTTCTCCCTGGCCACCACTCTCTCTTCTATCCCACCCACTTCTAGTCTCATCCTGACTATGAAGTCATGGGAAGTGGACTCAAAGAATGAGTGGAATTTCTATAACCAGAGGAGAAAATGAAATTGATAAAAGACATGACAGCACCTGGAATTTGCCTTAGATCCTAGAAAAAGAAATGCCTAGTGTCTCCTCTAAGCTGGTTTTGTTTGTCAGATTGTTTGTTTTCATTTATTCTGAACCATCTGACCCTTTATTGTTACTTAAAGAGGACCAGAGGACACACGAAAGTGAATCATCATGAGTTTTTATTGTTTGGATAAAGAAATATGTTTGACAAGAACTCAAAAAATTAGACAATAAGTTAACAAATAACCCAATCAACAAATGGGCCAAGGACCTGAACAGACACTTCTCAGAGGAGGACATACAATCAATCAACAAGTACATGAAAAAATGCTCACCATCTCTAGCAGTCAGAGAAATGCAAATCAAAACCACCCTAAGATACCATCTCACTCAGTAAGATTGGCAGCCATTATGAAGTCAAACAACAACAAGTGCTGGCGAGGATGTGGGGAAAAGGGTACACTTGTACATTGCTGGTGGGACTGCAAATTGGTGCGGCCGATTTGGAAAGCAGTATGGAGATTCCTGGGAAAGCTGGGAATGGAACCACCATTTGACCCAGCTATTCCCCTTCTCGGTCTATTCCCTAAAGACCTAAAAAGAGCATGCCACAGGGACACTGCTACATCGATGTTCATAGCAGCACATTTCACAATAGCAAGACTGTGGAACCAACCTAGATGCCCTTCAATAGACGAATGGATAAAAAAAATGTGGCATTTATACACAATGGAGTATTACTCTGCATTAAAAAATGACAAAATGATAGAATTTGCAGGGAAATGGATGGCATTAGAGCAGATTATGCTAAGTGAAGCTAGCCAGTCCCTAAAAAACAAATGCCAAATGTCTTCTTTGATATAAGGAGAGTAACTAAGAACAGAGTAGGGACGAAGAGCATGAGAAGAAGATGAAGGGATGAGAGGTGGGAGGGAAAGGGAGAGAGAAGGGAAATTGCATGGAAATGGAAGGAGACCCTCAGGGTTATACAAAATTATATACAAGAGGAAGTGAGGGGAAAGGGAAAAATAATACAAGGGGGAGAAATGAATGACAGTAGAGGGGGTAGAGAGAGAAGAGGGGAGGGGAGGGGAGGGGAGAGGGGATAGTAGAGGATAGGAAAGGCAGCAGAATACAACAGACACTAGTATGGCAATATGTAAATCAATGGATGTGTAACTGATGTGATTCTGCAATCTGTATACGGGGTAAAAATGGGAGTTCATAACCCACTTGAATCAAAGTGTGAAATACGATATATCAAGAACTATGTAATGTTTTGAACAACCAACAATAAAAATTTAAAAAAAAATATGTTTGACAATAGATTTCAGAATTCTTGCAAATCCTATACAAAGAACTCAAAAAATATAACACACACACACACACACACACAAAGAAAAATCCAATCAATAAATAAGCAAAGGAACTAGACAGACATTTCTTAAAAGAAAAAATATGGTCAACAAATCTATGAAAAAATGTTCAACATCCCTAGCAATTAGAGAAATGCAAATTAAAACTACAGAGATTTCACCTCCGGTCAGAATGGCAAGAATCAAGAATACGAACAATAAATGCTGGTGAGGTTGTGGTGATGAAACTGCTGCAAACTAGCACAACCACTCTGGAAAACAGTATGAATGTTCCTCGGAAAACTAAGAATGGAGCACCATCTGACCCAGCTATCGAACTCCTCAGTATATATCCAAAGGAGTTAAAATCAGCAAACTATAGTGACATGGCCACATCAATGTTTATAGCAGCACAATTCACAATAGCTAAACTATGCAACCAACCTAGATACCACCAAGAGATAAATGGATAAAGAAATTGTGGCAGATATACACAATGGAGTATTAGCCACAAAGAAGAATGACTTTATGACATTTGCTAGTAAATGGAAGGATCTGGAGACTATCATGCTAAGTGAAATAATCTAAACCCTAAAAACCAAAGGTTGAATGTTTTCCTCTGATATGTGGATGCTAACCCACAATTGGGGGGGTGGAGGGATGCTCAGTGGATTATACAAAGGGGAGTGAAGGGAAGGGGGTTGGATATGATTAGGAAAGACAGCGGAATTAATCAGGCATAACATTCCTATGTTCATATATGAATATACCACAATGAGTCTTACCATCATGTACGTCCACAAGACTGGGATCCTAATTAGAATAAGTTATATTTCATGCTTGTATAAATATATCAAAATAGATTCCACTGTCATGTATAACTCAAAAGAACAAATTAAAAAAAAAAAGAAAAAATTTCTTGCAAATCCTAAAGGTTATATACGTACACCAGGTACAGTGTTGCACACCCATAATCCCAGGGACTCAGGAGACTGAGGCAGGAGGATTGAAAGTTTGAAACCAGCTGGGGATATAATTTAGTTGGCAGAGTGCTTGCCTCGCATGCACATGGCCCTGGGTTCAATTCCCCAGCACCACAAAAAAAGAAGAAGAAGAAGAAGAAAAGTTTGAAATCACCCTGGGCAACTTAGTGAAACCATGTCACAAAAAAAAACCTATGCATACACATACTTATTTGTGTATACACACACACACACATACTAGATACAGCTATTCAGCCTCTGAATATGTACTCTGTAAATGTATTTGGACAATAACATTTGAATTATTGCAGAGCAGGATCTAGTAGTTGTCATGAGTCTTTCACAAGAACCTGTAGTTAATGGACTTGTGCTTGTGCACAAAGACAAGTGGAGAGGTTCCACTTTGGAAATGAGTGCTAGAAAAAGGGAAGGCAATTTAACACATAAGTAAAACCCCTGTGTAAAGTGGGTGGGACTTGGAGGTGTGTAGAGTCTGCAGAAAAAGTGTCCGTT